TTTCATCCTTGGCAGTACTGTAATAACTATCTAAAAGCATTTATGATAGGAAAGAATGGATCTTGTATATCAAGGCTGAAGTTTGTCAAGAAAAAAATATCTGTTGAGGTCACACCTCAAGGGAATAAACCAATACTTTGATTAGGCCATTCCAAAACTGTCATTTTAATGTTTTGAGGCATGGAGGTTATTGCCCTGCCGTATGACACGGTGGAATTTGAGTTTAAGCTTGCAGACTGATGCTACATTCATACCGCATGCTGCTGAAGCAGCAGAAGCAGCTGGTTTACATGCAAAGTCAATGGTTGATGTGGATCAAGGTGCATCAAAAGGACCTGCAGCAAGATTGGGTTGAAATAATACATAATATTTATATTATGTAATTTTCCATCAGATTTGAATCTGGAAAATTTTAAATTTATTGGGAAAATTGGCAAGGTTTTATTTCACCATTGAGATCAGACTTTGTTGGATAATATTGTGGGTTTGGGTACCCTTATAGAATTACAGACTGTAAATAGTTTGCTTACAGTTCAATACATGTACAGAATATATGTGCAGATTCTGTTGGATGTTGTGTTTGGAAGGAAAAAAAGAACAAAAAATAAATAAACTGTAAAATCGGTATGTATACTTGTATGGGAAAAAATATTTTCAATAAAAACTGCGAATATCAAAAGGACCTGCAGGGTGTTTCCAGCAGCAGGAGCAGTGCATCTTGAAGTAGCTGAAGCAGCGCGTCATGAGCTTCTGAGCATGTGAGGCGTGCGACGTGCTGCAAACGCAGCAGCTGCTGGACTTTGAAAAATTGAACTTCTGTTGTTCGACATGCCACATCAACCAATCAGAGAAGCTGATCTGGGAGCTGGCAGGGAGACAGACACAGTGCTGCTGATGCAGAGCGCTATGATCACTCCTCTGAAACAGTTTATTTACGCCTAAATTAACTTAAAATGTCAAAACCTGCTGACAAAATATGTTCGCTTTTATTAATCTGGTGCCTGCAGGTTGGATTACACATGAAAAACGCAAACATCTCCTTCCAGCCGACACAAACAGTAGCAGAAAACCCCCAAGAGGCAACCGGGCGAGAGGGCCGCAATGTTTTGGGGTTGCGTGCTGACGGGAAATATTTGAAGGCAGGATCGTAATTTTGATCAACTGACTGCGCAGATGAAGTTTTGAGGTAAACTTTCTCACCTAAAAATATATTGAAACTACTTTCTACCCACTTATGACAGCAAACATAGCAAAGCCGTTCTCTGCCACTGAACAAAGGCGCATCAGATGCATCTGGACACACTTCACTGGACGCGCATCAGACCTTAATGCAGACAAGCTTTCAAAAATTAAGCAGCAGAAGCTTTTTTTGCTGCCTCCAGTGCTTGCGGTCTGAAAGTAGCATGATGGAAAGACTCTCCTCAAGAATTTAAAATCACAGTTTAGGTTCTGAAGCAACAATGAAGGGATTGGTCATTACACCACAACCATGTTAAAAATTTATGTTCTTTTTTTACTTTTGGTATCAAATGCTCTGCTACTTTATACCAGATTTTATAGGATACACACATTCCAAGAGGAATAACTTTGGTATTATCAGAATATTTTTCTAAAAATCCAGGTGGTAGGTTGTAAGGCTGGGCAATAAATTGAGATTTTTTTTAAGAGATGCAAGAAGAGACAGTATCGTTTTTACTGAGACACTCACATTTCTCATGCTTATCTACCGATATGTCAAGGCTTTGATTCTACGGGGGCATTTTTATGAAATTACTTTTAGAAAAGTAAAACAAATAAACAAAAATGGTGTATATAGCCATTAAGCTTAAAATCAATTAGATATTTTGAGATATCTTTGGTCAATTATTGGACATTGGTGCTCTTTTAGATCAGCGGTGGTTCTGGCTTTGGAACTCTCAAATGGAAACTATTTAGGCTCAATGTCTTTGCTGTTGTTGAATTATAAACACTAAACTAAAATAAGTTAATGAGTCTGACACTGGTTTACATATTGATTTTTATAAATGGGTTTGTAATCCTCTCAATACTGATTGATTTTCATTGTTTTGTTGTTTTTTCTGTTCTTGAATTTGTTTAGACTTGAACTTGGTGTTTCATTTGTTTTAGATCCTCCAGCCTTCATACTACAGGATGAATTTAGGTGATTTCATGGCTGGTAAAATTCAACCAAAAACATAGGCTTAATCGAAGGTAACGTTATATATAACAAAAGTGTAGTTTTTAATTTTCATAAAAAGGTGAGCTTGGCTTAAATAACTTATTAATAAAATCATTATTTGAAAACAGCATTTTTTATTTACTCAAATTGTTTTTGTGTGATAAGATTAATTATCATATAGGTGTATAATAATGAATAATACCTGAAAAAGTTTTAAAGGGGAAGTATTTTCATGACGCTGAATTGCTAGGCAGAGGTCTGTTATGGGCATTGAATATTAAAAGGTTTAAGATGGTATGTTTTAAAACAACTACAACTTTTGTATCATACTGCTTTAACAATCAGAAATGTTTTAAATGAGATCTTAGAGAAAGCTTCGAAGTGACAGGAAATATAGTCTCACACCATCTTTCCACTTCTCCTACTGTTGCTGCGCACTGCATGTCTGCTGGCTGAAATAATTCTGCTTAAAACAAAGACAAATTAGCCTGTTCCAAAACAATAACGGAGTTTCCATTAAGCGTCAAATTAGATTGTAATTACGAAAATAAATTAGCCAAATGGAAACACTGCAATTTCGATAAAAATTTTCACGCTTCGATTTAGTCTCATTAAAATGTATGCATTAAACTGCAATGGAAACACTTTTTCCGCATTGCGCAAGTCATGTGACCTTAAAGAAGAGGAACTGAAGAGGTTAGAGGTTGATGGTGCCCCACAAGAATCGTGACTGAAATATGGACATATCTGATGCATTTACATCAGCTGCTGCCATATTGTTTTCAAGAGCTATCATGTTAGCAAACGTAATCACACAGAATTTTTATGGGAATTCCTATCTAAATAACAAATACTGCAATTGCGAAAATGATAATTTTCTAAATTCCCAGAAAAACAAGTTTTTCTTAGGGCTGAAACAACTAATTGGATTAATCATGATTAATTATTAAAATAATCTTTAACTAATTTAGTAATCAGTTAATCATTAACTGGAGTATAGGTTGTAAAACACTGACAGTTACCCACTTAGAGCAATAATTATACCAAGATTGTAAAAAAAAAATATATATATATATATAAACATTTAAGGAAAAAAAATTTCTGTTTGTTAATATGCTCTATCCAGAACTCATCAATTGGAAAAGTTTTAACTTCACCTGTTTTAATTTCTTTAAAAAAAATCTTCTCTAAACCTTTGGCTATCTGATTATTAATTGATTCATTCTAAGAAATAATCGACAGATTAATCAATTTGCAAAATAATCGTTCGTTTCAGCCCTATTTTTTGCGTACATTAGTAATGGAAATGCAACTATTGACAATGTTAAACAAACGCAGAGAATCAAGACATAGAAAGTACTGAGAACCGCTATTCAAACTCGTAAAGTCGGGCATACACTGTACGCTTTTCAGGCCGATTCTCCAGTTGTGCGAGAATTTTTTTTCATTTCATTCAGTGTAATATGCAGGGGGTAACGAGAAAATCCAACATGTTTGTAATTCAGTCAGCCGTCGTACGGTCACATCAGAGCGTCAGGCCGCACAGCGTGAGAACATGTATAGTGAGCTGTGAACTTTTAAACCCTGCGGGTTGCCGTACACGTTGAGCTGTAGCTGCCTGCAACGAAAATTGAAAATATTGCAGTGTTTGCCCGGCTTAAATGGAAACACAGAGTTAAATATTTGACTGGGAAGTTAGCAAAATTTTGTAGGTGACCACAGACAGGAACCCTCTGATTGGTCAAATCTACATCTGCTCTACACCATGCGTATTCCCTGTTTGGTACCTTAACGGCTTGTTTTGTTTGTATGACCGCCATTGTGGAGAATGACTCGTGAAGTTGGACCAGCTAGAAGAACGCTGGGACCCTTTTCCCACCTGGATCCACGCTCTTTTTCACCCTCAAGTCCCTCCGTTGTCTCACAAAATTGCCCCCACTTCCTCACCGCCTCGGCCGTATCTAGACCCGCAGCTAATTCCTGATTGTTCAGACTACGCTCCAATAGTGGGCATAAATCGAAAAAATCTGCGACAAGCTCACTGCGACACACTGCTGTGGGGAGTATAACCAGACCTCAACGGAGAACAGACGGACTGGTTACTGGAAGGTATTCTAGAAATAGATACAAATTTGTTACATTTTGGAGACATTAGGCACAGTTAGCACTAAACCCAAATTTGACTTGTCATTAATTTAATTCTAACATGTTTCATACTTAATAATATCAAAATATAAATAAAAACATTTTATAAATGTAAATGCAATAACGATTTGCAGGTGGGATGGTTGTTGCTTTTAACTAAAACTCATGGTTTACGTTTTTATGTGAATAAAATATTGAAATTGGCGTATTTAACAGTAGGTTATAATGCTGTGAGAATTGCCCATGCCTAGTTTGGGCATTTAATACATGAACAATGTGGCTTCTAAGCTACATTTTAAGTGGAAATGATCTTTCAAATATGATTTAAGGCAACATTTAACCAGCTCATTTATAGTGGAAATGTTTGAATATGCCAAGACATTCCGTATCCTAATATCCTAATGCTTTGTTTTTTTGGAGTACATAATTTATAAAGTAAGACACATACCGTTTATGCTTGGATATAAACCTTTAAATGCAGTTAAACCTCCCAATTTGAGATAAAGTTTTGAATTACTGACTTGTCTCTATCTACTCCTGAATGCTAATTGCTCTCACAGTCCTAACTGGTTCTCTGAAATCCTGATAATCTTAGCTGCTTCATAGTATCAGACAGATTGGGTTACATTAAAGACTAAATGACTTTAAAAATCACACTTTAGAGGAAACAGTCATCTTTTTTTTTTCCCTCAGCATCGCCGGGTAGAGGATGGGTATTTGGTTTTCAGACCCTCTTTGAAGCTGCGAAACAAAATCCGGTTCTGTTTGTTCTCCTCCTCCTTCTTAGCATGGAACTCCCCCTGGATTTTGAAGCCGCGGTGCACAACGAAAGCAGAGCTGAGCACAGAGAACCTGTATCCGGCCACGTGCAGCTCGCACGCCTGGGAGGAAACAGAGAAACGAAATTTAACACAACTTAATACAAAGCGAAGGACACTGCAGCTACTTGAGTTATGGTTTGGCTATGAAATTCTGCAGTAATTCATTGAAAATGATCCCTGAACCTTTTCCTATGGTTCCTGCAGCCATGTTTCAGTGAGAAATATGTTTAGATCTCAGGTAGTGATTTATGGATATCTTTCTCTACCAACCTGACTGATTCTATTGAAGCCATACTGCTTGAAGCTCTCATCATATAGGGGGACGCTGCGAGGCCCGATGTAGAACGGCTCCCAAGGATCCACCCAGCTGAGCGTGTAAGCAACTTCCAAAGGGCCCGTCTCTCTCACATAGCTGTTGACCCACTGAGAGTAGTTGGTGGGAGCCTGACAGCGTGGACACAACTCCTCATAAAAGGGACGGACCTCCCCGACCTGGTAGAGCTGTACCAACTCCGCCTTCGTCGAGGGAATCTTCCTGGCGTGCCGGATCTCAAAAGACGGCAGGACGAACACCTGGTCACTCGCCGGCGGCCTCCTCAGGATCATGGCGAGGAACTGCTGGTGGAGGTCAGCGCTGGGCATCATGTCCATATCAATTACCAGGATGTAGGAGGACTCGGTGCCACCTCGGGCAACGTTACGGAGAAGGTTGTTAGGGTAGGAGATGTTTCCACTCATGGCGTAGTTTTGGTGTTCATCTCTGTGGGTTTCCAGCCTTGAGAAGACAGAAGCACAGTCTTCCAATCCAGCAAAGTGCTCCATGTCCTGTTCAGGGAAACTGGCCGTCTCTCCTGACAGGCAGACCAAGTGGAAATCCACCAGGGCTTGGATCTTAGGGCAGAAGAAGCTGAGTGCATAGGCCAGAGCAGTGGCATACTTCACATCCTCCCCATGTGCAAATATAGCCACAGAGAGAGGGTTCTGCCATCTTTCCAACAGAGATTCCAGGTGATGCAGGTTGTTTATGGTTGTATGAGTGGCTAAAGACAGGATATCTGAATTGGAGTGGGAGCCTGGTTTCTGATTGGTTGTGAAATCACTCTTTATCAAGTTTTTGTATACTCTGTATTGACCGCTGTTGTCAAAGATCCCACCGGTGGACAGGGAGTACCTGAGCCGCTCCTTCCGCGTGTTTTTCTCGGAGTGGCCATTCTTCTTGGCCGCGGAGCCTCCGAAGAGCTCCGAATAGCGGTAGCGCTGCTGCTTCCCATGGAACCTGGACAGGAAGGACAGGTAGATGAGCTGCAGCAGCGCCACGATCACAAGTGCGCTCAGCACCACTTTGAACACCGAGCATTTCTTGGATAAATGCATTCCAGATAAACCTTACAAAGCAGGTCAAATAAGAAAAAATAAATAAAAAAATCAGGAGCTGGTTGTATCCAGGCGCTCCAGCTAACGTTGACTACATCCCAGCCACGCTGCTAACAGCACAGCCTAACAGGGCTGTGTCGGATTGAACCCCTGCTTGGATGTCGTGTTGGATTAAATGAGCATTTCGAACGATTCAAAGTAGCAGGGAGATCGATGTCGCGGAGTAGATTCTGTGATCCATTAAATCACAACAAAGCGCTGGTTGGCTGAGCAGCTGCTGCGACTGCGGCGCATGTCGATGTGTAACAGCCGTAAAGTCGGGACTAAAAGCGCCGCTGGAAACGGTGTTATTACGTTTCAAGCGGCGGGGGTATCCTTGTAATGTAAAGCGTTCACAGACGGCAATTTTCGAGACCAACACACAATGTTATACATAAAAACTATGGCATACAGCCGTGCACAGAATACTGAACTGTCTTTGACAAATCCTGCTGGTTTATTTGTGTCATGATGACGGGTGCTTTCAGACGAGGTGGCCGAGTGGTTAAGGCGATGGACTGCTAATCCATTGTGCTCTGCACGCGTGGGTTCGAATCCCATCCTCGTCGGTATATATTTATTTTTTTCTTTTCAGATAAACCTATTTGACGATATAGAGGAATCGCGGACATGAATAATAAGCCAGAGGAACGCATAGTGTCAGAAAAGGTTATCATTTTTTTGTGCTGTTTACCACAGGAGAAGGCACTCGTCCTTCCTTTAATTTCCCTTTGCTGTGCAAAGGTCTCTGCACCGTTCCTGGGCGGCCTCTGAGGTCCTAACACATTTTAAAGGGTTCGAACAAGTCCGAACCAACCTCAAAGACATCCGAACAAGGTCCGAACAAGTCCGAACGAAACTCAAACGAGATCCGAACAAGTCCGAACCAACTTCTAAGACATCCGAACAAGGTCCGAACATACTTCAAACGAGGTCCGAACAAGTCCGAACCAACTTCACACGAGATCCGAACAAGGTCCGAACGAGATCAAAGATTTCCAAAACGAGGACCAATCAATTATGTCCGAACGGTTCACGTGACGTGGGAGGGTTGAGGACCAATCACCGGTCCGAACGGCCACTTAACCTGGAGGATGGAGGACCAATCACCGGTCCAAACGGTCACGTGACGTGACTGGAAGCTAAAGCAATGGCGGTTATTTTTCTACCGCATCAACATGAGAAGAAGAAAAAAGTGGGGTAACTTTGATTAAAAAAAAAACAAAAAAAAAACAACAACACCATAAACAAATAATAATGATTCAAATTCTAGTCAGAAAGACTTTTATTTGTTCTTACGTGCTAGCGCAGTGTGGCTATGGTGGTCATACGTAATATTAGACTGTGACAAACTTTATTGTCATTTTGTATACACAGAGTATATACAGAACGAAATTCAGTTGCATACAGCTTACAACAGTGAAACGGTGAAATGAACATTTGGTGTAAAAGGTGTAATGGTGTAAAAGGGCATTAACATGTAAAGTTTCAGTGCAGTGCAATATAATATAGTGCATAATGCAGTAAAACATTGAGTTGTGTCCTCCTTAAAGGATTATAAAAGTTTAGTCACATTCATGGGCGGTTCTAGATAGGGGCCAACGGGGCCCAGTGCCCCTGTAGCTCATGTCCCGGCCCCTGTACCGAAGGCATAACACTAAAAGAAGTTCTAATGATGATATGCGCTGGAACAGACATGGTTACCGGTAGGTCCTTTGGATCTATGTAACTTTTTTTCTTTAAAAATTGTGTTTTAATAATTTTTAAAAATTATAAGGTAATAGCTTCAGTGGTGATAGGATCCCATTTTTGGGGGGGTTCTTTTTCAAAACAAATTAGGAAAAATACAGCTAAATGTATTACTTTTTCTTGAGTTCTAATTCTGATATTATAGAAAAAGTTTATTTTAACTTCAATTAAGTAAAAAAAAAAGTAACATTCATAAATTGTGATTGTATATTGACCAAATAAGACAGAATTTTAATTCAACCCAATAGAATAGAAATTTCATTTCATGCAGCTATCTTAATACATCTGAATCCCTTGCTCTTTTTTTATTTATTTAATGCTTTTCTGTTCCCTCATGAAAACACACTGGCCCCCTGGTACATTTTGGTCTAGAAACGCCACTGGTAACATCGGTAGTGCAAAATAAAGTTACATATAACAGAATAGGACTGATAACTTTGTTTAGTTGCCCTATAAACTTTGCTGACTGTCTGTCTGTATACACACATAGCTTAGCTCCATGTTAACCTATTTTATATTTAATGTTTGAAGATGACCGCAGACATTAAATCTGAATGCATCTCAATTTCCTGATGCTCCTTCAGTGCAGCAAGTTCCTCCAGAGTGCCTTCCATCCCAGCCAAGACGACATGCCTGGAGGCTAAATAAAGCTGCCCAGGAGGAAGAGGAGCGAGTGTCAAGGGGGAAACCGCATCGGAAGAGGCTGATGAAAGAAAAATACCAGTACACCTGCAAGGTTGGTGGCCAGGACGAAAGTAAGAGGAGTGGAAACTTTTACGGAACCCAGCTGAAGGGGCGCTGGTATTGTCCTGCCTCAGGACTGACCCAGGAAAACTGGAGGAAGAGTTTGTCACCATTACTTGTCTGTCTCTCTGTCGTTTGTCTGTCTGTCACAATAAACTTTAATAATTTTATTTGAGCCAAGAACAGCCTTCACATTTTTATTTCATTTCTTGAATACCAGCACAGAGGATGTCACCTATTGAATTGTTAAAACTAAAGCCAGAATTACTTGCAGAATCATTTTGCATTTATTCATAAAATACAACACTCTTTGCTCAGTTTGAAAATGTTTGAAATGTTTTATTTACTTGTACTACACAGATGTCTCTCAAATAATTGAGTTTACCTAAAGGAGTGGAAAATTTGTGTTTTTTAGTCTTTTTGGGACGGTTTTTACAAATGCTCTGTTTATAGGAGGAGTTTGCCAGAACAGAAGAAATAAGCCAAAGGCCCGACTTTTACATTTTTTAATCAGTGAATCAAAGATGGCCATTTACCTGTCCCGTACAGACAGCAGGAGGGAGCTCACCTTGATGCCGTGGCTCTGTGGAAGTGCAACTTTAAAACCAGAATAAGGCTGGAGTTTCCCTTCAACAGAACATGGAGGATTTTATTCAGTTGTGGGGTTTTAACATAATTTTATGTGATGTGTCAGATAAAGGAGAACAACATTTTAACAAGTTCCTCATTTAAGGATTTTTAACCAACACTTGTTTTAAATCAGTCATTACTTATATGTTTTGAATTGTTTAAATAAAGTATTGTTAAAAGTCTTGAAATAGAGTGGAAACATAATGGAGTTGTTAGTGATTACAGTTATACACCGTTAACTGTTATAGCTTTAAATGTTGCATATGACATTTTGAGTTATGTGAATATTGATTTGCTTGCATTAGAAAATATGTTTATTTACATTTGCTTTAAATTGAATTTTCTTTAAATGCATTCATGTGCATTATCACAGGGTTATTACCAGGGGGATTTATAGGCTAAACAGTTCCTGTGTTAGTTACGTTACACAGAATGCATTACACGCGTACTTCCTACTTCTGGAATGCACTAGAGGCACAGATTAATCAGTAAAATTGCTAATCTGTTGGTCTCTGCATGCATGGTTTTAAATCCCAGCCTCGCCAAATTTGGGACATGTGTAAGAAGAAGCCAGGGACACATATAATACATTTTTTTTTTTTGCTGTTTAACACTGTAGAGGAGTCTTTCCTCTAATTCCCTTTTCCTTCACAAAGGTCTGCATGTTAGGTTTTTTAAATGTGTAATAAGGAAAACATGAAATAATCATCCCTATTTCATATGACACGTCTCTTTAACAAGGACACTTTACCCTCCACTCTAGGAATTATTCAGGAATGATGAGAAACAAATCTGATGTCTTTGGGTCCAAATTCTCAAAAACTAAATCCAATCAGACATTTGTGTTTGATATAGATACCAGTTTTACTGCTGAAAAGAGCAGGAGTGAAGAGTTCCTCATAGATGTGGATTATGTAGAATATATCCAACCCACCGCAAAGCCTGAAGCTTTTTTGAAAATAAAGTTCAATTTTAAAATGTCATGCATTCTCCCGTTACTATATTACTATTTAAAAACCGAAAATACTATGACTCGTTCAAACTTTTTATCTCAAACTCAAAAAAGAGGTGTTATTACAGAAAGGGGATGTGTGTTTACTTCACTTTTTGTAATAGCATTAACTTATACGTATAAAAACCTCTAAAATAGCACAAACCTACAGCCGAATAAAGCCATCTAAATCTAAATATTGAGACATATCTGAAGTATAGAAGAGGATTAGAACCATAAAAAAAAAAAAAAAAAACTAAAATTAGTTAGGACTCTATAGCCAAAGCCCAGGATTATTACTTTGATAACGTAGGAATATTACAAGTAGTCATAATTCAATGCGAATAATTCTGAGATTAAAGTCAGAATTAGTTAAAATAGTGAGAATAAAGTCAGACTTTTGAGATTAAAGAAAAAAAAATCTATTGTTTTTCTATTGATTGGACTTTGTCTTTTTTCCAGTGGCCCTAATCCTCTTCTGTACTGAAGGCATGAAACAGACACATTTTTTAAAAATTTCTCATCTTGTTCAAGATCAATATATGGTGTAAATCCATCTGTTTAAGAAACTGAAGTGGAGGAAATGACGTTCTATGTGTTTAAAGTTATTCTTATCCCAGCACTACTTAACCTAAACATGACAAAAATCTATTCTTCAAACTCTTATAATAAAAGAAAATAACGTCAAACTGCTGATGAGAAAATCAGTCACCTTAAAATCAAGAAGATATGCATTTAATTGTGAAGCTTTTGACAGTATTTTAGACAACAACAAAAAAAAATCAAATCAAATTCAAGGCAACCTCAGATGAGAACATCACCATTTATAACCAAATATACAGGCTTGGAGTACATTGGCTGGACGCGGATGTGAAAAACTAAGTGTAACGCATTTTGTTGAAATTAAAGTAACTCCTCCAATCCAAAGTGAAGAGTTCCAATTTTCCATCAAGGTTTTATTTTATTTTCTTCCAGGTGATGCAGAAATCAGAAGGCTCTGCCGTCACTGTCCATCCTGACAATCTACGACACTAAAACTCCAGTTCCGCTCTTAGATCCTCCTCCCTCGCTGTTACCGGACGACCCTGCAGGCTGGCCCTGACCCTCGCTTTCGCCCTCTCCAACCAGACGGATGTTGTAGCGTTCTCTGTACTCTGTTAGCTCCCGTCCTTTCGCCTGCATCTGCGTGTTGATGGTCTCGATTATTTTGGATATCTGAAAGAGAGGAAAAGAAAAAAAAAGATTAGCTTGTGTGTTTCAGCTCTAATATGAGAAATTAGCTGCCTCTGCTACTCTTATATGGAAGAACCAATTGGTTACTGGTTTTATATCAAAATGATCATCTGAGGCCAACTAAGTTCCACTTTGTTAATTAAAGAAATAAAAAAAACGTTTATTAAAGGAATAGTATACCCAAAACATGATTAGCCTTCATTTTCTACTCACCCCCATGCTGAACAACACTCTGGAGTACTTTTTTGATATCTCAAATGCATCTGGAGATCTGGGAGACTTCTTGCTGTCTGCTGACATTCAAATAATGGAGGTCTATGGTGCCCGAGTCAGAAAGGTCCATAAAAGTCCACAAAAAACGTGTCAATATTCCTCCATACTGCTCGTCCAATGTATTCCAAGTGTCCTGAGTGGGTAGCATCCAGAATTTACTCCAAACGAAGCCATTTAGAATGTTTTTAGAGCATAAACAGTAGTGTATAGGATTTCCTGAAAGCGTGTTCACGACGCTACGGAAACCGCAGCAGACCAAACCAGATGAAAGTGCGCATTCAGCGTCTGCTCTGCCAATAATGCAAGCGTAGAAGAAGAAATGTGCTGTTTACCTGTGCAAAGAAAGAAACAACGAAAGAAAAATGTCTGAGGACTTCAGTGTTGAGGAAGAGCATGAGTTCTTTGCCGAGCTGAATGCGCACTTTCATCTGGTTTGGTCTGCCGCGGTTTCCGTAGACTCGTGAACTCGCTTTTAGGAAGTCCTATACACTACTGTTAATGCTCTAAAAACATTCTAAATGACCTCGTTTCGATGAAATTATGGACGCTACCCACTCAGGACACTTGGAATACATTGGACGAGCAGTATGGAGGAATATTGACACGTTTTTTGTGGACTTTTATGGACCTTTCTGCCTCGGGCGCTGGGCACCTCCATTATTTGAATGTCAGCAGACAGCAAGAAGCCTCCCAGATCTCCAGATGCATTTGAGATATCAAAAAAGTACTCCAGAGTGTTGTTCAGCATGGGGGTGAGTAGAAAATGAAGGCTAATCATGTTTTGGGTGTACTATTCCTTTAATTCCCATCGTTCTGAGCTTGAATTGCTTATTGCACAAAATACACTGTGCCTCATGTATGTTCCCTGGTTTTAGCCATGGAGAAAAGTCTTGGCTGGAGCCAATTTTCGTTACATTTACACTTGCTCATATTTTCCAGACAAAAAGTAAATGGCGCATCTCCCAAATGTCCCGGCCGCAACAACGCTTTTATTGGTTCCGCTATCGGGACGGAACCAATAATGGCGAGCCATAATTTTTTTCGAATAAAAAAAATTCCAATTTTAATGTTTTATTGAGATTACAAAAATAAATTGTAATAAAAATGATCCTATTTTTGATGTTTTAAAAAATTAAGACCTACGAAAGACTGATTTAAGACATTTTAATACCAATTAAGGCCTTAATTTTATTTTGAAGAATTCAATGCCTTTTAAGACATTTTAAGGACCTGCGGGAACCCTGGATTCAGCTCTAATATGTGAATGTAGCTGCTTCTGCTACTTTTATATGGAAGAACCACTTGGTTAGTGGTTTTATATCAAAATGATCATCTGAGGCCAACTAAGTTCCACTTTGTTAATTTCCAAAACATTTAGTTTATTTCCATCAGCTTTATTTCTATCTAAATTTGTCACTTTTTCAATGGAGCTTTTAAGTCTTTCCCAACACATATTTCATAACAGTAGAATATTAGCTGTTTAAATAAGAGAAATGATTAAAGAAAACGTTTATTAATTATAATAAACGGAAAGTTACCTGTTCTTTGTTGTTTTCCAGTGCAGGTAGAACTTCTTTCACTGTTCTCTCCACCAACACCCCTCCTACTAGACGAAAACACTTCCTCGAAGGATCCACCTCCTTTAGAGTTTCAATAACTAAACTGAACACAGAATTCAAGAGCTTAGAGTTTTACAGCAACAGGCAGGTTAATGCTGGCTAATAGGATTGTAATTCTAAATCAAAGGTACCTGTATTCCTGAGGTGTTACCCTAACCTTTATTAAAAATTAGTCAACAGCTTTAAACATGCCACTGAATTTAAGCCTAGAGAAAAGAACACTAATATTTACTTGCATGTTTTATTACTCGGATTAAAGATAGATAAGCAACATGCAGGAAAAGGCTCCAGCGGTAGAATCCTCTGTTTTCGCCAACCTGTGCTCGTTGATATCCATCTCCAGCTCTGCAGCTTTAGACGCCATGCTACGCTGCTCCTGCCGCATCCTCTGAAATGTGGCCACCACCTGTCAGAAAAAAAAAACGAAACAAAAAAAATAACTCATCAGGACAGGATTGTCTGACTATGGAAGAGGATTGGGGCCACTAAAAAAAAAAAAAAAAAAAAAAAAGGTTAACTGATGTTTTTATATTATTTCAGTATAATATGAGAAAAAAAGTCAAAATTCTGACTTTAATCTCAGAATTGTTGATGTTAATGTAGATCGTGAAGGTAGAGATGTGGGAGCTCTCAGCTTTGCGGACAAAGATGTGAGTTCTTTGGGAGGGCCAGTGACACATTGGAGGAAAATGATGAAATCAGGCAACTTTTAGACTTACCGGTAGATTTATTTTGTCATTTTGTATATACAGGAATGTAAATACATCTAAATTAATTTAAAACAGCTCTAGACAATTTCCTTTTTAAGTGCCTGAGGGGTCCCCGCTGATGCTATTTCATTAATGGAGGAGCAGAAGTTCGTTAAAACAAGAGAGCTAGTCTCTAAAACAGACATGGCTACGGCTTGATGCTAACATGTTTGTTAGCTGTCAGAATTCATTCTTTTTTTATTTTTTCAGTGGCCCTAATCCTCTTCCGTAGTCTGACAGTGCTGCTGAAAAAAACAACAATAACTCATTATTACATTGTTTGCGCCCATTTTGAATTGAATTAATTTAATTGGATTAATGAAATTTTCTTCAGAAAATTAATAATAATAAAAAGAATAATAGATAGATCAATTACAGAAAATACTTGAAACAAACAACCCTGTACAACACAAAAAAAAAGGATTGATTACAGGTTGAACATTAAAACAGATTTTCAGTTCCAAATAACTTAAATTCATTGGAACATAGACAGAAAATAATCAAACAAACAAAATGTTGCACTTAATAAACAAGTATATAAATAGCCTGAGATCTGACATCGATTATTTATTCATTTAGGGTTATGGATTATTAATTCATGTAAATTGAAAATGGGAATGAAGAACCAAAACTTATTTTACATACCACTTCTCCCTCTAATTACATTTAAAGCAGCTTAAGTGACCTCTAGGGTTGTCAAAAGTATCGATACTCAAAAACGTATCGATACTGAAACGTTGTATCCAGATACAATACTCATTTTAAAAAGTATCGATACAGCCATCTAATGTGCAGAATAGTGGAAAATGCACTTTCTGAACACTGTGTGATTGAATAATTCTGTGCATTTTTCAGTTTCAGCCTTCCGCCTCGTCATACCCGACCCTCACTGATCACTTACTGGAATGTTGAAATGTATATTATAGAACCAAATAAATGCGTCCGAGATAAATGCATCATATTATGATGAGATAGACTAGTTTATTTTTTATCGCAGTAGGGAGATTGTAGAAAGGAATCTTGTGTTTTAATGATAGCGACAGGGAAGCTAATGTTAGCTTAAGCTAGCTGGCCGATCGATTAACGGCTTTAACTCCACCGAATCTTCCAATTTACACCAACATTGAATGCAACCAAAACTTGTAGACCGAGAACAGGTGAAAGTACCTGTTCAGCCGACGGACCGGCCTGTTTTCCTGATCCGCCGCCGCTGCTGGACTTGCTACCCGTGCTGCTACTGTTGGCTGCCATCTTGGAAGGGTGTTCCCGGTTAGGACCCCAAGCTTCATCTGCAAATGGTGGCCATAAGTTTGCCTGTATGCAAATGAGAAATAAGAAAATAAACGCTCTGTGTCTTTGTTAGATTGTTTTTTAAATTAGAAACATTTCAGGTAACATGTTTTATGTTGATGTAGGATGTACGCTATTTCAATATTATTGTTATTTTGTTCATTCGCACGTTTTAAAAACACAACCCAAATACATACAAAAATAAAATGAAAAAAAAATATATATATTGCTGAACTTAGAGAATGACGTGTGGTTATTTCCAGCACTTGTTCGGAAATCTAGATTTTTTTTAAAGAAAATTTGACAATTATAACGGTTAAAAGGTAATATATTAGGGATGCACGATATTAGGATTTTGGCCGATATCTGATATGCCGATATTTTAAAACTCATGTAGCCGATAACCGATATCGATACCAATGTTAAAGCTGGACAAAAATAAGTAGTGATTGAAAATAGGAGTTTTGTTATCCATTTCTGACACTTTGATAAATAATATACTCAAATATATTTTCATATGCTGATATCAAATTGATTTTTAAAAACGCGGTATCGATCTATTTTACTTTCAAAATCTCGTGAAATTTCATCGTTCTGTTACAAACTCTCGTGATATTTTGCAAATTCTTGTGAGATTTTGTTAGTAAAATAGATCGATACCGCATCAATATATCAACATATAAAAATATGGCAAAATTTCGTGAATTTTCGGGGGATTTCGTAGCATAACGATGACATATAGCAATATTTCATTAGTAAAAGAGATTGATATGGTGTTTTTAAATGGCAATATATCAGCATAGTTAGATATTGTGATATTTCAATGTATCAATATTTTTTCCCTCGTCTTTAGAAGTTTTTAAGTCTGTAAAAAAGAAGTTTTTGTGGAAGAAGAAGAAGTAGTATTTATTTTAATTTATTTTTGTTGACTTTAGAAACTCAGAAGCTGATCAAATATCGGGTTAAATATCGGTGGGGTGGCCGATGTCCGATATTCAGTTTTAAGGCCGATACCGGCCGATACCGATAGGGGGCCGATTATATCGTGCATCCCTATAATATATACTATATATGATTTTCTTTTTCAATAGCAAACCTAAGACTTTTCCTATGGCAGTGCTGATCTGCTATTTCAAACCATTGTTCTAACAATATCTTATCATCTATTCATAGTTTTATTATTCATGTAAATACTTTTTATTTCAGATTTGCCCATATCACATTAATTTGAATTACAGATTTGTCACATTGTATGAAAACGTTTTTTTTTTTTTATTGATGATTTTATTGTAAAACGTGATGGCACATAGAACACTAAAATTGTCAAAGCTAAAGCATGATACTTTTAAGACATAAATAGTTTAATGTTTGTGTCACAAGAGTCAGTTTCTATTAAATAAGAAAACAAAAAATTTTGTTACTCATTATTTATCTTACTTCAAAGAGTTGTTGTAAACGATAGGTCATAAGGGCAGGAAGGATTTTTTTTTTCTTTTTTTTTCTTGCTTTCTTTCTTACAAGAAATCTGACTGAAGTTATACTGTTTTTGACCAACAGTCTGATGAAGAGGATGCTCAGAGCTTTCAATGTTGTTGTTCATTTTATGGAAGAATTTATCTTTGTAAAATCCTCTCCAGAAGCAGAGGCGTAACCAGAAATTTTTATAAGGGTGGCCAAGCAATAACCAAGGTACACTGAGGGGTGGCCAAAAGCAGACAGGTGCCAGAACATCTGTGTCAATCTAAACTGTTCCAAAAGGAAAATGAAAAAGCAAAGCATCCATATTTTCTAAATAAGGACAAACTATATTTTCCTACAGCCTTTGCTAACAAATAGACGCATATATTTAAACATCTATGCTGTCTAAATTAAAGGTGTAGTGGACAAAATTCTTTAAGTTTTTAGTTCTGGCGCGAACATCTTATTCATTGTCATTACTAACCTACTTTTATTATTAATCATTCAGCATAAAATTAATATTTACTTATTATTAAAGTAGTTTTTTATCTCTAATTTCAGTGAAGATTCCTAGATGACTTGCAGACACAATTTCCTCTGAAAAGAGCATGAATTTTGTATTTATCTTCAATGTTAGTAATATTAATGTGCATATTTAACCACAAGGTTTTTTTTGTCAGGTAATTCTTTACATATATAAAAATTTAAATGTTAAATAAGTTAAAACATTCCACTTGAGAGAATTACTGCTCCGTCTGTATTTTAAGGGAGAAATGGTAGGGGTGGCCACAGGGGTGGCCATCTAGCTCCGCCCCTCAGAAGTTCTAGCAGAGTCCATGCTGTTACACCAACAGAAGACACAACAGACCTATTGTAGATATGTTGGATAATATTGCAAACAACATAAATCCGAAAATCCCTCAAGAAGTATAAATGTATTTACATGAGTAGGTTAATTATCAAGACACTCTACATAAGTTAAAGTTCCATAATAAAGGAAAAAAAAGAATAGAATCCTCTTTTATAATATATAATGTTCGACAGACTAAAGTTTCACTGATATTACTACAGCAACATGTTTAACCAGTAAACATTGTTAGCCATAATGTGTTATTAACTGCCCTGTCTTCTTGAATGTGTTGTTTTATGAGATAAGCCCCATTTTTTCTAATATTTCAGTGATGGAGGGCGCCCAATAGGTGGCGCCAGTGTTGTTTGTTTTATGCATAGCAGAGAAGAAGATTGAAGCTTGCACCTTTTCATTGCGAAGGACTGAACTTGACAATCCCCCAAATGTTAATAAAACATTAACATAATGTAGACAGCAAAGGACTGTGACCCTGTGAAACCAATGTTTAGGTGCATTTTGGGATCATCTGGGAAGCATTTGGCCTCGGTGTCAGTTCTGCTGCAAAACAGGTATGTTTATCATAAATACATAAATAGTGTTTTTTGTTTTTGTCATTTATTTTTTTTTTGGGGGCGGGGGTATCTGCACAATCTGAGCCACCTTTAATGTTTCTGTTTTCTCCTGTCATAAATGTCAAGCTGTACAAAAGTTAAACAACAAGCCTGCACTAGAGATAACCCAGTAACTTGTGTGGTAAATCATGAACCATTGTTCACTTGACAAGTTTCCTGAAAATGATTCTTTTTATTTTTCTGTGCAGGATGTCCACTTCAGCAGTCCCTGTGGCAGCAGTCTGTCAGGTAACGGCGACCCCAGACAAAGAGGCCAACTTCTCTGCCTGTAAACAGCTGCTAGAGGAAGCCAGGCAGAGAGGGGCCTGCATGGTTTTCCTGCCAGAGGGATTTGACTACATTGGAGCCAGCAGAGAGGAAACCCTGTCCCTGTCAGAGACTCTGGGAGGGGATATGATGTCCCGATACACTCAGCTGGCCAGGTGGAGATGGATGGATGGATGGATGGATGGATGGATGGATGGATGGATGGATGGATGGATGGATGGATGGATGGATGGATGGATGGATTAATTGATGGATGGATGGATTAATTCATAGAAAGTTGGATGGATGGATCGATGGATGGATGGATTAATGGATGGATGGATGGATTAATTAGTGGATGGATGGATGGATGGATGGATTAATTGATGGATGGATGGATGGATGGATTAATGGATGGATGGATGGATTAATTAATGGATGGATGGATTAATTGATTGATGGATGGATTAATTCATAGAAAGTTGGATGGATGGATCGATGGATGGATGGATTAATGGATGGATGGATTAATTAATGGATGGATGGATTAATTGATGGATGGATGGATTAATTCATAGAAAGTTGGATGGATGGATCGATGGATGGATGGATTAATGGATGGATGGATGGATTAATTAGTGGATGGATGGATGGATGGATTAATTGATGGATGGATGGATGGATGGATTAATGGATGGATGGATGGATTAATTAATGGATGGATGGATTAATTCATAGAAAGTTGGATGGATGGATCGATGGATGGATGGATTAATGGATGGATGGATTAATTAATGGATGGATGGATGGATGGATGGATTAATTGATGGATGGATGGATCGATAGATGGATGGATTAATGGATGGATGGATGGATTAATTAATGGATGGATGGATGGATTAATTGGTGGATGGATGGATTAATTCATAGAAAGTTGGATGGATGGATGGATCGATGGATGGATGGATTAATGGATGGATGGATTAATTAATGGATGGATGGATTAATTGATGGATGGATGGATTAATTCATAGAAAGTTGGATGGATGGATCGATGGATGGATGGATTAATGGATGGATGGATGGATTAATTAGTGGATGGATGGATGGATGGATTAATTGATGGATGGATGGATGGATGGATTAATGGATGGATGGATGGATTAATTAATGGATGGATGGATTAATTGATGGATGGATGGATTAATTCATAGAAAGTTGGATGGATGGATCGATGGATGGATGGATTAATGGATGGATGGATTAATTAATGGATGGATGGATGGATGGATTAATTGATGGATGGATGGATGGATGGATGGATGGATGGATGGATGGATGGATGGATCGATAGATGGATGGATTAATGGATGGATGGATGGATTAATTAATGGATGGATGGATGGATTAATTGATGGATGGATGGATGGATGGATTAATTGATGGATGGATGGATGGATGGATGGATCGATAGATGGATGGATTAATGGATGGATGGATGGATTAATTAATGGATGGATGGATGGATTAATTGGTGGATGGATGGATTAATTCATAGAAAGTTGGATGGATGGATGGATCGATGGATGGATCGATTAATGGATGATGGATTAATTGATGGATGGAAGGATGGATGGTTGGATGAATGATGGTTGGACGGGTGGATGGATGCTTTTTTGCTAAATAAGCTTCATATCAAATATTTTGGGTCTATCAAACTCTTTTTAGAAAGCTGGAGGTGTGGCTGTCTCTTGGAGGCTTTCATGAACGAGGACCTGACTGGGAGAAGGATAGGCGTATTTATAACAGCCATGTCATCATTAATAACAAAGGTAGAGTGTTTTCCTATTAAATACACAAAAAATCCACCTTCAATCTACTGTAGTGATCATGCAACATGATCTGCTGCCATCAAACCAACAGGTGACATCGTGTCAGTCTACAGGAAGTCCCATTTGTTTGATGTGGAGCTGCCAGAAAAAGGCGTGTCACTCAAAGAGAGTGCCTTCACCATCCCTGGAGCCTCCCTGGCTCCTCCTGTCCACACTCCCATTGGCAAGGTGGGAATTTATTCAAATATGGCCTCTCATCATAGCACATTCCCCTCACTGTACATCCTTATATGGTGACCTACTGCATGTTTGAAGATTTTGAAAATATAAGAGCATTATATTCATCTGTCTGAACTAAATTTATAATGAGGGAAAAGCAAAGTTTTTTACTTAAAAAGTAGGCCTTTATACTATGTTTGTGTTATTAAAGCTTCTGCTGATTGTATTTTTCTTTACATAATTTAGGTCGGACTGGGCATCTGCTATGATCTAAGGTTCCCTGAGTTATCGCTTGTTTTGCAAAGACACGGCGCAGAGATCCTTACATACCCATCAGCTTTCACTGTAGCAACAGGAGCTGCACACTGGGAGGTGGGATAACAATGTTATACTATGACAATATTAAAGGTATAGCGGAGGATGTTCTTTATCAGGGTGGATCATCAAAATAAGTGGTCCTCCTAATTGTCAATCATTCTGGTGCTATGTTTACGTAAGGCCGTCCTACCTGCTCCAACCCATTTTCACTTACCGATGGCTAAGTCTGACATAGTGGAAAAATTGCAAATCTTTTTTTTGGAAAGTAAGCTTGTATGAAGGATGCAAAGAGTAACTTTTAATCAGAGCGTGCACAAGGAGAAATGCTCGTGCACGCTCTCACACGTGTTTAAAAGGTGTTCCCTGTCTGGAGCGGGTATAGGATTGTGCATGTGCATTTTTTGGGATTTCTAAAGTGGAGAGGTCTTTTAAGAAATTCGCCAAAATTCTCCACAATACCTTTAAAAACAAATACGTCAAAGAAAGATCAATCATGTTATTTTTAGAAAGTTAAAAAGAACAAAGCCATTTCTGTCATAATTCTAGTAGCTAATTATAAAAACTATCAACCTGTACCTCCTCATCAATGCAACAAAACTCAACTCTCATTGTTAGACCCCAGCTTTTAAACAACACAAGTTTTCGCGAAATTCACAAAAATCCACCTTTAAGGATGAAGTGCTACCTGGTGTCAAAGCTTTGCTATGATTCAAAATACCTCTATCTACATGTCAGAGAGTTGAGTGTCTGTCTGGCTATATTTATGGGCGTTCTTTATTTATTACTTTGCATTCCTGGTCTGCTACATGAAAGACGGTTTTCTGACAAGAAAGGTAGAGAATATTTGGCTGATTTTTTTAAACAATTTTTCCTGAACAGTCATGGAAACTAAAGCAGCAGCAGCATCCATTGTTTTTAACTTAAAATGTGGTAGTTTAACTCAAGATGATCAAACTACATCCTGTCTAAGCCACAATAATTTAGGTGGGTAAATTATGAATAACTGTGCTGTGATCTGTGTCCAGGTGTTGCTCCGAGCTCGAGCAATAGAAACGCAGAGCTTCGTCTTTGCCGCAGCACAAGTAGGCCGGCACCACGAGAAGCGCACTTCCTACGGTCACGCCTTAGCCGTGGACCCATGGGGGGACGTGCTGGGGGACTGTGGCGGGGAGAAGCCAGGCATGGTGCTGGTGGAAGTGGACCTGGAGAAAGTCAATAGAACCCGAAGGAACATGCCTGTCCAACAGCACCGCAGGGACGCTGCTTTTTACACCAGCCTCAGTCAAATTTGATGTAAGATTAAATGTGTATTCGAACAAGATGGGGTGTAGAATTTTTGATTCATTGTTGATCACAGAAACCTTGATTACTGATAAATGGGATTGAAAAACAGAGTTTCTATGCAGCCCTAAAAAGATAAAATCATAGGCTACCTTTATATATAAATATATACCTTAAATATAAGACAGAGAAGGAATTAAAATCTTTGATTATATTCATTTAAAAAAATGGATCAAATTGTGATATGAATGAAAAATGTGTGCTTTCAGGTTATATAATAATAATGTTTAAGGATGCAATGTAGAGCAGTCAGGAAAAAAATCTTGTTATGAAGTATATATGTAAAAATGAATGGAGAAAATAAATAAAGCTGAAATCATTTGTTTAAAGGTTGATTCCTATTGTAACTATTAGTCTACATTTGTTTTATATTTCACAGACTTTTATCCGCTCTAATAAATAAAATGAAATCTCAGATTTTTAAGCTATAACAAAAAATTGTTACATAAGATGGTCACTAGATGGCACTGTTGGACAAAAAAAGAAAGATTACAGGCAATGACATGGATTTAGTAAAAAAAATTATATTTAAAGAAACTATAGCGATTTAGGCTATTCAAGATGTACTTGCTTTAATTTGCAACTTTAATAGGCACATGTTTACCATATCTAATTTATATAGAAAAAAATAAATTTATTATAAGTGAATTTCAGCCTAAATAATTACTCCACTAAAAAAAGGTTTATAGAATATAAAATCCTTGAAATGTCCCACAGTGGGGAAATTCTGCTGTTTACAGCAGCAAAAAGATTATAAAAAGAAATAGTCACACAAATATGGACCTTAAAAAATTTTATAAGAATAACATAATAGTGAATAGCAAGTAAAATACTGTACTGTAAAGTGTTTTAACAGTATAAAACTGCACTTGGACAATAAAATAACCAATATACAGCTATATATACAGTATATGGATATTTCAAAACAGCAGCAACATCAGAGATGTGCAAAATGACAGCAACAGGTTATTTAACTGACTAAATTAGAAACGGTGCAAAAATCAGGATGTATGTAACATCTTATTGAGTATGTTGGGAACAGAGTTTTACAGCAGCTTGGAGGAAGAATATGTGATAACGCTCTCTGGTGCAATTAGGGTGCAGCAGAGGACAAAGAAGTAGTTTTATTATTGTTGGGTAATAATTTAGTAACTTCATAATCTACTACATAGACTATTGAGACATCCAAACGCTTCAACATGATATAGAATTTATTTCTTAAAGTTGATTGATATTTTACGGGGTTGAAATTTGCCACTTTTTTTTTCTAAAATCCATTCTTGAGAAGTCTGTTACCCAAACACTCAAATTGACCTTGTTTCTGACACCAAAAGCCATAAACGGTACAAAGTTGTCAGCTTTTCAGCTCATATGATCTGATCAACCGAATGAACAGTTTTTTCGCTTCTCTCATGGTGAATTATTAATCAGAAGTCCTCCTTCCAACAGGGGTGGAGCTAGATTTTGTGTTATATGGGGTAAAGAGAAAATGATGTGTCTCTGCAAGTCATCTAGGAGTCTTGAATGAAATCAAAGATAAATAACAAATTTAATAAAAACGTATCAAATAATTTATGTAGATATTAGTGCTTGTAAATATAAATTTTATGCAGAATGTTTATTGATACAGGTAGGTAAGTAATGACAATGGAGTTTTATCGGACTGGGAACGATTTTCGGCCCTGACATTTTTCCGTCTACACCGACCCACTGTGGGGCCTTGGTTATTAACACCGACGGGACAGTGACTGCTGCTGCCACTGCGTAACGTCCACACCTGCACAAAGCCAGCCAGACACCCACTCACCCATACTAGGTCTACAACGTAAGCCCGAGTGTTGTAAAAACACCAACATAAAACAATACAATAAAGAGGCAGACAGGCAGTTCTTCAAGAATGAAAACATTAAAGTTCAGCAGAGTGTAAGCATTCACTTCAACTCTAGGTGACGTGAGCAATGAAACGGAATAATGTAAAAGATGCAAAACCCCATCATGCACCAACATGTTGCAAAATTTTCTAACATAAATTCGCCAAATATAAGAAGAACATCAAAGTTTGGTTCAAAGAAAGCATTTTAGTTTTATTATAATTTAGTTGGTTGCAGGGATTTTACAGCTTGAAGAAATAGAAAATTACACCATATGCCAACCGTCACAAGGATGTGCATGACAAGGAAGGGCTGTATATACTGCATGCATCATTTAGGTAGTTAACATTGTATTAATTCCTGAACTCCTTGAGTTATTTACTGTTACAGGTAGGTGCTTTGGCCGGAGAGTAAGTGTTGGGGCCGGTATCACAGATTACCAGTCTGAGTCTTTTTATTTAGAAATTACGGATGTTTAAATATATGAGTCTATATTTTAGCAAAGGCTGTTGGAAAGTGTAGTTTGTCTTTATTTAGAAAATATGGATGTTTTGCTCATTAATGTTCCTGTTGGAACAGTGTAGATCCAAAACGCTGCTGCCCGTGTCCTCACTAAGACTAAGAAAGCAGAGCACATCACCCCAGTTCTAAAGTCCTTACACTGGCTCCCTGTATCTCAGAGAATAGACTTTAAAATACTTCTGTTAGTCTATAAATCTCTGAATGGCTTAGCACCTAAATACATCACAGACTTGCTATCAGTGTTCCAGAAAACTGTAAAAGTGCGGAAAGCCTGAGTTCCTTTAAATCAAGACTAAAAACACATTTGTTTAGGACTGCCTTCGACTGTTCTACTTAAAAAGTTAAACTGAAACATCATTAGTTCTTTTTTTTTCTTTAGTCCAACTGCTTTTAATGTTCTTTCTTGTTTCTGTATTTTTTTTCTTCTACTTGCTTTAACTCTGTTTTGTCTTCCTGTATTTTAATCATATAAAGCACTTTGCATTGTCTTTGTACTGAATTGTGCTATATAAATAAATTTGCCTTGCCTTGCCTATGAAGTTCTGGCGCCTATCCGCTTTCGGCCCCCCCTCAGTGTACTTTAGTTATTGCCTGGCCCCCCTTATAACATTTCTGGCTACGCCCCTGCGCTTCCAGCGATGCTGCTGGGATGATCATGAGGATGGGAACAGGAAGTTCACGTCACTGACAGAAATGGGACCAAAGGAAGAAAACACCACGATGATGAGGAGGAGAACGTCAAAGCAGCTTGTTTAAAGAAGGAAAAACCACCGAAGTGCATCCAGCTTTAAGCGAGGAGAAACAATGAGCTGCCATGTCGGAGCTGGATCTGAGGCATCAGGAAGGTAAAGCTGCTGCTTTCCATCTGTCGCAGCTGTGGAGGTGAAGCTCTCACCTCACACCAAACATCCATCCTTCATCTTTAACTTTTAAATACGAGTTTAATTCCTCCCCACCAGCCACTCAGACGAACAGGTGTTTGATAGTTAGCCAATTAGCCGCGGAGGCTAACCCTGTTAGCATGTAGCAGTTGATGCGAACTGAGTGGAAATTCACCAGCTTCTCAGGCTGTCTGTGGTCATGTTGGGGCGGAATGTCATAGAAAAGCGTCTTTGGGTGCAAACAGATACATTTAAACTAAAAGCTAATTTTCTTTATACAAATGCAGATATAACCGATGCTAACGGCACCTAGCATCGGGTATATCTACAAAGGATTGGCTGAATACGTGCAGTCTGTTGACAAGGCTTTCATAATTTAATCTGAAAACCTGTAATCCTGTTTTTTTTTTTTTTTTTTTTTTTTTTGTTCCTAGAGATAAAAGTTTCTTCATTCCTTCTTCATATAGTCAGTTTAGCCTTTTTAAATCCAGTGGAAACCACTGCTTGAATTAGGATTGATTCCATGGTGGGGTTATTTTAGGGTTAAATCTAGGTGGTTAGATCATGATTACAGGTTATAACATTAATAAGATGCCTCATCGGGGAGAGTTCTGTTATGTTTTAGACTTTTATAGTTGATCAGATGCCCTGTGACATTTAAGACCCCCCACCCCTTCAGTCTGCACAGCCTAATTGGGGCCATAAGGTTTGTTTAAACTAGGGCTGCAACCAACCATTATTTTGCAAACGAATTAATCTGTTGTTTTTGTTTTTTTCTTCAATTAACTGATTCATAATCTGATAGCCATAGGCTCCTTAAAGAAGTTTTTTTTTTTTTTGGTGAAACTAAAACTTCCATTTGATGAGTTCTGGATAGAGCATTTTGATCATAAATGCAAATATATATATTTTTTTCAATCTTGATAGAACAGCTGATCTAAGTGGGTAACTCTGTCAGCTAAATGTTCTGTAGATTTAGGCTTGGAGAACTTATACACAGAGTGTATACAAAACAACATTTTGTTAATACAGCTTTCAGACAGTGAATGAGCAGCAGATTAGCAGTGAAAAGGAAGTGCAGCAGTGATCTAATGTAAAAAATAAATAAATAAAAAATAAAACATGCTGCAAAAGGTAATGATGTGGATGTTCAGGGCAGTGCAAAATCATATATTATGCAAAAATGCATTATATAAAATATTATATAAAATATCATTTGGTATGATGTTATCAGTGTGATGCAGAGTTTTGATTTGTGACATGATTTAGAGTTTTTTCCAACAGTTCAGCAGGGTTATGGCAGTGGGGGAAAGCTTTTGCAGAACCTGCTGGACCTGCAGCGGATGATGCGAAGGCTCTTTCCAGATGGCAGCAGGGAGAACATTCCATGGTTTGGGTGTGAGGGGTCGCTGATGATGTTACAGGCTCGGGACACGCAGCACTGGGATGAAATGTCTTTAATGGAGGGAAGAGGAGCCCTGATGATCCTCTCTGCTGTTCACGCCACTCTTATCATGTTCTTCCAGTTAACGATTAAACGATTACTAAATTTCAATAATCGATCAATCACGATTAATGCAATTGTTTCAGCCCTAGTTTAAACAAAAACAAAGTACATTTTATGAATGAAAAAAATATATACCTGGGGGAAAAAAACTTTGTTCAAAATAAAAACTGCTTTCAGAGTGTATTTTTTTTCCTAACTTGCAAATTTTCATTTTGAACTTTATCTTGAACTTTTGAAAAAACTTTATGGCCTCAATGTTGCTCGATACAACCGCACTTGGCCAAATGTTAAAGCAGCTGACCAGCCAATTATTGTGTCTTTATTGCACCATAAGCTCCCAATTCTTCAACTTTACCATACCCAAATGCAATATTTAGGTCATTAGCAGTATTGATGCTCAAACTTAGGTTTGATTTAGACGTGTAGGTCCAGAATCACACCTTCACCCTCAGAACTGAAGTTCTTAACTTGGTCCTGTCCTGGTTTATGATATGAGCATTAATCACAGGATGTATAAAACTATCAAAGATAGCCCCTTTAAAGTGCATATTTTCTAATAATGGAGTGAATAACAAAGATTTTAAAAGTTCAAAACTAGATTTCTCAGAAATTTGGGTTTGTGCAACGAGTTTCTCCAAGAAAAATAAGTATAAGTAAAAATCAGTTTTGATTAGTTTGAATTCATTTTCTCAGAGTGACCAATTTGAACAATGGAATTAGCCTTTATGGATGGGAATCTTAGCGTCTCTTAACTACACCTGTGCGTAGAAAATATCATTGCCAACTTCACATCAGATGGTAAAGGATGCAACAAAGCAATACCTGCTTAAATGGTGGAGAACCATGTAAAAATATAACATTTTCTGATATTTAAATTGTTGTTTAGAAGGTGAGCAAAGTGAAATGTCTGTCTAACTTTCCAAATAAGATAATCTGCTCTCCTGATTCTGTTTTATCTGTTTTCTTTGCTCGTCTTATTTTCATATAGACTGTGTATTTGATCGATTTGCCTGCAAGCTATGATTCCTCTTTTGATTGTTTCTAAATCTCCTGTTTTTCTGTTCTTCAGGAAGCAGATCAAATTTATTTATTCCTGCATTGATTTAAATGTTCCAAATGCCCTTTATTCATTCAGCATCAAATGAGAACGTATATTTTAATGTTCTGAAATGACTAACCCTGTAGCTTATTGAGAGGAAACCTGCATCCAAATTTGCAATTTGCTGAGAGATGAGCTTTGAAGTCCAGTTAGTTTTCCTGGTTTAAATCTCTTTAAAGTTTAGTATGGGATATTATACAGAACATAATATTGGATCAAAGTTTGCCTTTCTGCTACTCCCTGAAAAATCCACAGCACAAAAACTATCCACATGGTTCTGCAACATCTGCTAGAAAGCAATTAAATCCATGTCTTTTGTGATGTCATCAAACTGGTAATACAGAGTTTTCTATTGTCAGCTTTTAAAAGTTTTGGTAAGTTGAACATTGAGCTAAGTGCTAGCTGTAAAATTTGATGTAATTCAAATAGGGCTACAAAAAACAGTTATTTTGCAACTTGATTAATCAATTAATAATTGGATAGCAAAAGGTTCCTTAAAGAAAAAGTCCGTCAGCAAGAAATAATCAATGGATCATTATTTATAAAATGATACGTTCGGGACTGGCCAATTTTGCCCAAATATAGTTAACACCTCACTCCTGACATCTTCCAGCAGTGACGTCACGGTGCGGTAAGCCTGGCGCCATTCTCCCCGCTTTAAAAGCAAAATCAATGCAATCAATGTCATCTGCAATCAGTAACAATTATTTAAGATTTCGAGAGGATTTCACCATTGAAGTTCATCAGAGATATAGTTAAACTGACAATTGCCACGTGAATGGCAGTTGGATGTTGTAATACATCGGGTAAAAGTTGAAAAAAACCGAGTTATTTCACCTTTCCAATTGATGATCCTCCTCGGACGGTTACTGCGGTAATGGTCGTTGGATTGCCAACTTGGAGAGGGAGGATTTGCCATTAAATTTCTAGTCAGAAAAAAAAACATGTAATATGTAGCCAACATTTGGAAGAAGAATGTTTTTAAGATGACTTGGATAAAAGCAGGTTGTGACAAACACCAGATACAGCACTGGGACTTGATCAACAACTGATACCGCACCGTGACGTCACAAACCGGTAGGTGGCAGTAGTGCTCTTTGACAAACATGGATGCCTCCAGTAAAGCACATTTAAATGAAAATGACTCTTAATTAAAAACACATAATTTATTGAACATTATGTAATAATTATATATTTAAAGTTCTTTCAGAAGTTTTAATTCTGAATATGACCAGACTGTTATAGAAGACTTTTTGCGAAAATAACCAAGGAAATACTAAAACTTTTCCACTTGAGGAGTTCTGGATAGAGCGTATTGACAGAAGAAAATATTTTTGTTATCTTAAATTAACATGTTAATATTTTTTAAACAATGTTAGTATAGCTACTGCTCTAATTGGGTTGTTCTGTCAGTTAAAGGTCTGTTTTAGAGTCTCTACACTCCATTTAACGATTAAACATTTACTAAGTTAGCTGGCAATTATTTCAATAATAGATTCATCACAATAAATCCAATCAATGGTTTCAGCCCGACATTCAAAAGTATTCTAGATAGAAGTTAACAGTTGTAGGTTTATGCTAAAAAAAGATGGTTTATACCTGAACAACTGGAAGAGATTATAGAGCTTTATGATATTAGAAAATCTCTCTTTTTTTCTTTTTCTTTTCTCATCTCTGTTTCCACCACATGGTGACCTTTAGCATTTTGGGTGATGTCCTTTGTGTTTAATGGGAGCATCTGCTGCCGAGGGACTTTGTCCAACTGGCCAAATATTACATTAGCATAGAAAATGCAAATAATAATCACTTGGAATATATTGGCCAACATTTGTTGCAACCCAGACCGTTTTAAAGTGAAATTAATTTTGCAACACTAATATGGTCCTCATCTACTCTGTAGCTTTAATCATTATTTCTTTTTGTTCAAAGGAGAAAAAGCAGACATTTTTATTATTTCAATTGCTCCTTAACTGTTAAATGCCACAGATACAATCAAGTATTTATATGTTTTTGTTATTCAAATTTAAATCAAAGTATTTTTTAAATACTTTGAGATTTTCATTTTGCAGATTATTGGTTATGCTCCTTATACCCACCTGTTTGAGTAGCCTCTATTTAGCCTAAGCAGTTTTGTGTTTATTAGATGGATTGATGGTAATCATGTCTGTTAATTGTGACCAAATGTATTTCCAAACAGCAGATTTGTTCTTTACTGTAAGATAAAAACGACACCATAAAAAAAAAACATGTTACTTTAACACCTAGAGAGTAGAATATAACTCTGTTTCAGATAACATTTGGTCCCCTTCTAAACTAGTGTAAAATTTACTCTATAGTCGTGTCAGTTTTTCAGAGTTAATGTTACTCATATTAGTTTAAAAATCAAGAAGACCTCTCAGAGACGCCATGTAGTGTAAAATTTACATTGCACGTCAAATTTTTAACTGACTTTTAACTCCAGCACTTGAGCAGATTTATACTCAGTATAGTTGTAAATACTCCATTTAGGGCTAAATACCGTATTTTCACGACTATAAGGCGCATATAAACGTCTTTTTTTTTTTCCCCTCAAAATGTGCGGCGCGCCCTAAAGTGCGGTGCGCCCTATGTGTGTTGTTACTGCGGACGTTTGAGACCACCATGAGAACGTTAAAGGGGGAAGTGTGGGCGTGGATTGTGTATAAAAGAACAGGTATGTGCTTTAAGCAGAACTCCTCATCTCCTCATTGAGGAGATGATGAAAGAGTGGCTGAGGGAGGTGAATGTAAGGAGACCAGGTGGTTTTTTCCACTCATCACCATCGCTGTTAATCTGTGACTCCATGCGTGCCCATCTCACAGCCGATGTGAAAAACATGGTGAAACAAATGAACGCTGTGCTTGCTGTTATTGCGGGAGGTCTGACAAAGAAACTTCAACCGCTCGACATCGGTGTGAACCGGCCGTTCAAAGTAATGCTACGTTCACATCGGATGCAGCAAGAGCAGCAAAATCGTGTCTGCTGCTTCATTGTTGCTGCTTGTACCAGTTAGTTCTGACGCGCGGCTGAAGCAGCTTTGCTGCTCTGGCTGCAAGGTGCAAAAGTGTGTCTGACGCGCGTTGGGCGGACCTACTTTATCCTTTCTTTGCCTTGCAGCTATATTTGCTTTTATCAGTGGGAATAAAGTAGTTTTAATATGTTTTTAAGAGAGAAAGTCCGCCTGAACACTTAATCCTTGCAGTCAGTTCATCCAGATTACCATCCTGCCTTCCAATATTATCTCTGTCGGAGCCGCTCAGACCCCCACATACAGCGGTGCGCTGGTCAGTAGGAATTCCATTCAACAGCAGCCTCTGGCCGGGTCGCCTCCTCGCGGTTCACCACGGCGGCTGGGAAGTGTTTTTCATCTAAATAATCTAAACTGCAGGCACCAGGATAATAAAAGCGAACATATTCTGTCAGCAGATTTCTGCATTTTAAGTTAATTTATACGTCAATAAACTGTTTCAGAGGAGTGATCACAGCGCTCTGTGTCATCTGCGATGTGTCTGTCTCACGGCCAGCTCCCAGGTTTGATTAATACTTTGTAATAAATACATGAATAAAGCACACTCATACTCAGTTTTGCTCCCGCTGTATTTTTAAATACGCAGTAGAGGTATTTAAACGTAGTAGAGGACATGTACCTGTATGTAAAACCTGCGCCCTATAGTCCGGTGTGTTAAATACAGTAATGGCACACATAACTGAGACTGCGCCTTTTAGTACGGTGCGCCTTATGGTCGTGAAAATACGGTAGGTTAACTCTGAATGGTTCACACCCAATTTTGTTACTGTGAAGGTTTTGCCACCTTTTAGCCAGCTGACCAGCAGTATGCAGCAACAGATTTGTGCTTCTAAGGTGTTGGAAGAGCTTTTTATGGTGATAGATAAAGGAAAGCTCTTTGCTGTTGCTCAGGAGGTATGTGTGCGTCAAAGTATGTACTGTCGGTTAGAGCAAACGCTGAGTCACATCTAGACGACAATCGTCTCTGGGCAGCACCTCCATGGTGACCAGCTGCAGGAAGATAAGCCTGCTCTACTGCTTGTGAAGCATCTGTTCCATTGTCGCTGTTTTTCTTTTCCTTTTTCTGTTTTTTAATTTAATTTTTTCCTCTTCTCACACGTCTTAAAACGCAGGACTGCAATCTATCTGACTGGATAGCGCGGTCTTTTTTGCCAAAGTCCTGAATCAATGCGATTTTTATTAATAAAGCTCTAAATCTATTAGTTTTGATTTGATCTGTACTTACAATAATTAAGTGGTTCAACTGTGTTTCAAAATACTCATGTATTTTATTTTTTCCTGTCATATTAAACACAAAGTGCAAACTTGTAAATCAGACAGTTTAAACTTGAGATGTGAACCAAACTGTCTCATAAGTGCAAAGTTGTTTGTAAAGGGTGAAAAAGTGAAGCCTCCTTTAATCAGACATGCATGAGCTGCATTATCTTCACTGCCCAAACCGTACTTGCAGCGTGGTTGTAACAGCTACAGGGTGTTTTCTGGTCAGCCCCCTTTTGTAATGTCATCAGTCAACCTATTGGCTATATTTGCAGCCGTCTGGCTGGAAGTAATCTTGAGTGCACCTTTCCTTCTCATTTGAATGTAAACGTCATGTACTAATTGACCTCATTCCCTAGACATCCATTTTGCAAAAATGTAAAGGAATCGATTCAAAATCGATTAAATCATTTTTTTTTACCCAGCCCTATTCATTTCTGTTAGAAAATATCTGACTTGGCTTTAACTGGAGGCTTTCATAACTCTGGCCATTAAAGGTCAAGTAGTTATGGAGAAACAAAGCTTTAATCTTATAAAGTTGTTAAAAAGGTACATTTTAACCTCTCTTTGTTTCCTGTAGCCAATAATGAATCGTGAATCAGCACCTCTGACGTGAATGAGTGTGCACCACCTTTAAATGTCAGCCTGATCGAGTTTCAGACTAAGAAGCTGGTGGTGATGTGAAACATTCATAACGCTCATTATAGGTTCAGGTTTACAATCAATTCATTTAGATTTCTTCAGTTCTTTTTGAATGACAAACATAACAGATGATGCTTAAAAAGCAAGAAATAAAATATGTTTATTTTATTGTGATTTGGAGCAGAATTGTTAGAAAATTGACAATTATTTATATGATTAGATTGTGAATAAGCTTTGAAATTGAAGTGTTTGTTGCCCAGTCATGGTGGAGATGAGACGACATCATGAAGTTCAGTCACTGCTTTAAAACCAGCACACTCGGCTCCTCCAGTTTCCTCCAAACGGCTCATGAAGAGAAATTAAACAACAGATGATCCCTGCTGTGGGGTTGGTTCTCTGAAGAAGCTGAACTGAATTTTCTGGACTCACTGATTCGATTAAGCTCAGAGATACTTTCTGTCTTCCAGCAAATTGTTTGATTACTCCCTTTCCTTACTGTAGTTTGGCGTTATTAGCGTTGAATTTTAACGCCATTTTAATTTATAAGGAAAAAAAGGGAACAAAAAAAAGACCTTTGTGAATGTAGATTAGATCAGTTTCACGTCTGTATCGGCTGATCGTCGATCACTCAAAATTACGGAAATCAGATTGCGTTTAAACTCCGAAAAGAGCAGAAAATTACGTAAAGATTTGTAGAACGAAGATTGTCGGGGTCCTTAGTTTGTAGCTACTTGAAGTAGGAAGCATCTGCTGGGAAAGGATCCTTCTTTCATTCGAGCTTTTATTGCAATCAGTTAAGAGAGGCTTCATACATGATTTGACAATCAATGGTTTAAAGTTTTTAATGGTAGTAACTGAAATGAAAGTGGTCATAATGACTTGATAATATCTCAGTTCAGAAATAATAGTTGCCTGGCCCTATTTTACTCTCATAAAAGAATGCAACATCTGTGTAGCTGCTGATTTATTAATTATTTTAGAAGAACCTGAGAGTTGAAGTGGTTCAAATCTGGCAGGTTTAAACCGTAAAAATGTCTTGTACTACAGCAAGCAAATGAAAATAAAAAGATGATTCAGAGCTGACTAATCATGTTCTACTTTCACACAAACTTCCGTTGCTGATTGCCAAATCTACAGGATGCAGACACACAAGTTGAAAAACAAAAAGATCATTTCGCTGATTTAGCACTTTTTAAAGTTTCCCAGAAGTATTTTCTCTGAGGAACTGAGCATATATCTGCACTTCTGTCTTTTACCCTGCCTGTGTGTTCTCTCTATTTTGATTTTTAAATGCAATGGCACAGAAAACGCCATAATGTATTACCGTAGATAAATGTAGTTCTCCACCTATGAGTTATGATAATGGCTTACATTGACCTGCAGTGGCCTCTTCACCTCTTTTCTCCTGTTTCATTAATGCTCTGACTGCCTCCAAACTGCTATGATGAGGATCATTTTAGGTCACCTTTGTCTGTCAGTCTTCTGTGTAGTTTCTAGCTTGTCCACAGGGTAGCGCTGTTTGGAAGAATTCAAACATACCATTCCTTATAGAGGGGTTGTGGTGCCCCTTTATTATGCATCTATGATGTGTTCTGTTTATCCAAATATTGGTTAAAGGAAACTACATTTCTGAAGTTTTCTTATTTTTAAATATGTTTTCATCTTTTTTAAATGATATGGAAATTCAGACGTCCGTAGATGTCCTTTCTAGGTGTTCATTCATCTTTTCATCAACTCTGCCCAGCTTCTTTGTCCCTTTTAGTCAAAAACATCCCAGCAGTGTGTTAATTTTCTTTTTTAGGCCACGAAAGAACTTCTGGCTTTCTTTCAATTCTTAAAGTCGTATTTCTGATGAATGATCGCTGGTCTACAAATCAGGTGCCTCTTGGCTACTTCTCTGATTGATGCCCTACTTTCTCTAATGTTGGTTTAGGTGGACGGCCATGTCTTTGTAGTTTAGGCTTCATCCTAACCGCAAAATGCGAAACAATTCAAGGTGTATGAAGACTTTTGCAAAGCCCTGTTGTTTAGAATAATGTCTGCAGAACTGCACCTTGTAGACTCTAAGATCTCGCCCCCCCTCTCAGCGCAGCTTGTCTGTATCTTCACCACTCCCCTCCTCCCTCCCTCCCTTATCATTCAGGGTAACGGCGTGTTGCTAAATGGAGTCGGAGCAGCTCTACCACAGAGGCTACTGCAGGAACAGCTACAACAGCATCGCCAGCGCCAGCAGTGACGAGGAGCTGCTGGATGGAGCTGGCATCGTCATGGACTTCCACACCACTGAGGATGACAACCTGCTGGATGGGGACGCTGCCTCCCCAGGTAGGGACCATACCTCCAAGCTCCTCCTCCAAAGAATTAGAATGAATTATCAGGAATCTTTAGGTCTCCTCATGACAGCCCAATCTTGATGAGCCATGGTCTCGCTGTCCGGTAGATAAAGCATCCTGGATGTTGAAGTCAAGATATTTACCTACATCTACATGTTTGTCCATCTGTCTGGTGCCTTTTTCATTCAAATCCTTAGGAAACCTCATTTTTCCAAACATCACAATCCTGCTGTCATTGCCATCTAATAGCCGTTCTAATAGCATCACTTTCATTGGGATCATTCTTGAACAGGACCTTAGGCCAATGCTTCCTATCCACACACCATAGTCCAAAGTTTGGTCCATCTTCCTTTGGAGATTTAGTTTGATCTCCTTTAGAGAAATATTGCTGGTTTTGTTTTCTGCTAACATTGGGAGCAAAAGAAAACTTAGTTGGTTTGCTAGATTAAGGATGACAGAAGGTGGCATTATTTAAGGTAAAAATGAATCCTTGAACTACAGGAAGACTTTTGTTACTGAGGGTAACGGTACGCTAAAGGGCTGGGCGATTAGACAAATCTATCAACGATAGAATCAACCCTTCAACAATCATTTACTTAAGAGCGTTTTTGTTCTGTTTTTTCTTTTTTTGTCTCTGGTTCTGGACAGAACAGAACAAAAACGAAAATCCCACCCAACATGCCCACTCATCATTTCCAAGGACATCTGCGAAGGACAGGTTTAAAAATGCAAGAAAGTTTCCCAGTGATTCTGTTTAGGCGAAGAGCATAATAAAAAGGATGTCCGTGGTAAATAAATATATTGTTACTTTTATTATTGAATAGTTAATTGTTTATAGAAATGCCTTGAGTTTAAAAGATAATGAGTTTTTTTAATGGAGTTAGTAAACATCGTAGCCAAAAGTGCTATGATTTTAAGCCTTAAAACAAAACTTCTTACAGTTTTTGGCCTTGGTTTCCTCATTTTTGGTTTTTTAGTTTTGCTAACAACTTTCATTTCTGCATCCCTATTGGAAATCCTAAGTGTTTCACACATTTTATTAACCTTTAATTTTAAACATTAACTTAATAGGTTCCTCTTTTATTTATATATTTATATTATATATCTATATATATATAGATATATATATATATCTATATATATATAGATATATATATATCTCCTATTAGCAAGTTTAATTAACTGGAAGAAAACATTTTATTTTTTATTCGATTAGTAGTTGATATAGCTGGCACAAGGGTTCGATAATATACCTTATTTTTAACTGGGTATATTGTAAAAAAATAATTTAGCCCTTTGTGTTGTGCTACTTCAACTTGAGCAACTTGAGCTTAAGTTATTAATCAGTAACTTGTTTCTTTTACTTTGGAAAGCATCTTAAAACCGCAAGAAGTTTCTAAGTAAAAATGCTCCAGGCTGAAAAATATTGGCATCAGGAGGAATTTACCTACATTAATTTAATTCCTATTTAAAGCTTTGAACTGGGTGTAAACCAGTTCACACCTCTGTCAGCATTCTTGTTTCATATTTTTTAAATATTTTCCTTTGTCTGAGCTTTGGTCATGTTTTTCTTTTATTAAACGCGATCAACCAGACAAGCTTGTTTGTTCTCCCATCATTCTTACTGGTTTATCTATCAGGTCATTTCTTACGTTTTAAAGCAAAGCATGACCTGTTTGAATATCTCACTGCCATCTGGCTTTTTTTGTAAGATAGATTATAGCATATAAGCATCTACAAAAAAGATCTGTTATTATTGTGTTGCTGTATTTAATATCTTAATATTATTCATCTTTTTAGCTTCTTGATTAAGCTGCAGAATCATTGCGTAAAGGGTTTTAACAGTGTTGTGTTAGGGCTGCGAATATCTCGGTTGCTTCATCTTATTATCACTTTGTAGTTAGAGAAGAAGTAATACTTGAAGTTTCTTCATAGTATTTACATTTTACCAGATTTAATTTTTCTACACAAGCATATTGTGATTCAATATTTTACTCCTTTCATTTTTCTTCAAGTACTCTGATTGAACCCAGTGATGTTAGAAACTGGTTCTTTTCTTTGGTTTATTTATATCCTGCTATTTTATATTTGATGATGAAACTAAAGTTAATGTTTTTCCAATGCACTTTATTTATATAGCACATATAACCACAGAACATGTTTCCAATGTACTATACATAAAAACCACAAAAAAAACAAACACACACAAAAAGCAGTAAAGTTTAAAATAGTTTAAAATAAATAAAAAGGACACAGAGGACCACACATTAAGCAGTGTTAAAAGCCAAAGCTTAAAAGTGGGTCTTAAGACGAGACTTGGAAAAACTCTATTCAGATTTTGTTTTTTAAATTAGCCAGTTTAGTTTTTTTGTTTGGTAGCCAGCTGATGTAAGCATACCTATAGGTCTGTTGATTAAAGGGCCTCCCTTGAGTTATCTTAGAGGCTATTCTTTTCCACCTTGTCCTAATTTTTTTTTTATACGTTGACAAGAGGTGTGTCCATAGAAAACTTTATGAATTCCTCTTCAGGGCAAGTACTGGGGACCAGTTAGCTAGATGCTCTGTCATCGCATGGAGTCGAACACTAAAAGGCTTAATTTGCTTAGTATGAGTTTTTCTTTTCTGAATGTTCCTGAAAACAAAAAGGATAAAAGAGACTCCTCAAGCTGAAACTGGTTTTATGGGAACAAGAGACTTTTTTCTTTTGTTTTTATGATCTCACTAATATTCCTTAACGAAGAAGGTGAGAAACTATGGCTGGAATCACCTGATTCACCAACCGCCCCAGGTAAGAACCACGGAGGTCTAAAGTATCTGTAGTTTTTACCTAATAATTACCTAGAGTCTAAAATTACATTACAGATCCAAGAAAATCTGCAGGATTAGTCTGTTTCTTGCAACACCTCTGAAGTTTAGTGGTTGTGAACGATGTTGGATTTTACCTTTTGTAAGCTTCTAATTGGTATGATGATGGGTAAAATGTGTCGGAACAAACAGAAGGCTTTTAAAATACAAAATGATGAAGTTTCTGTTTTTTTTTTCTATTGTTCATTATCACTTAGGAGAGATCCACATCAAATCTAACTACTGATGGAAAATTGGTTCAGAAATGATCCGAAAAGATATGGTGAAAGAACTACTCTATATACTTCTCTCATTTATTCTCATTGTCATACTTTACTCTTGATTATGCAGGTTAAAGGGGTTTCAGTGCAGATGGTTAAAATAGTGTATCAGTTTCATAATATTTGCAAATTGGAAGAGAAAGGGCTAACTAATGGTGTTAATTGCTAATTGTTTATCTACATTATCATATGGTTATTGTTTATAGGCATTATCATTGTGATATTTGTATTACTACTTAGAAAGATTTCCCATCTTGTTAGGAAAACGTAAAGTAATTCTGTCATCTTAATATACACTCACCGGCCACTTTATTAGGTACCCCATGCTAGTAACGGGTTGGACCCCCTTTTGCCTTCAGAACTGCCTCAATTCTTCGTGGCATAGATTCAACAAGGTGCTGGAAGCATTCCTCAGGGAGTTTGGTCCATATTGACATGATGGCATCACACAGTTGCCGCAGATTTGTCGGCTGCACATCCATGATGCGAATCTCCCATTCCACCACATCCCACAGATGCTCTATTGGATTGAGATCTGGTGACTGTGGAGGCCATTTGAGTACAGTGAACTCATTGTCATGTTCAAGAAACCAGTCTGAGATGATTCCAGCTTTATGCCATGGTGCATTATCCTGCTGAAAGTAGCCTTCAGAAGTTGGGTACATTGTGGTCATAAAGGGATGGACATGGTCAGCAACAATACTCAGGTAGGCTGTGGCATTGCAACGATGCTCAATTGGTACCAAGGGGCCCAAAGAGTGCCAAGAAAATATTCCCCACACCATGACACCACCAGCCTGAACCGTTGATACAAGGCAGGATGGATCCATGCTTTTATGTTGTAGACGCCAAATTCTGACCCTACCATCCGAATGTCGCAACAGAAATCGAGACTCATCAGACCAGGCAACGTTTTTCCAATCTTCTATTGTCCAATTTCAATGAGCTTGTGCAAATTGTAGCCTCAGTTTCCTGTTCTTAGCTGAAAGGATTGGCACCCGGTGTGGTCTTCTGCTGCTGTAGCCCATATGCCTCAAAGTTCGACGTACTGTGCGTTCAGAGATGCTCTTCTGCCCACCTTGGTTGTAACGGGTGGTTATTTGTGTCACTGTTGCCCTTCTATCAGCTCGAACCAGTCTGGCCATTCTCCTCTGACCTCTGGCATCAACAAGGCATTTCCGCCCACAGAACTGCCGCTCACTGGATGTTTTTTCTTTTTCGGACCATTCTCTGTAAACCCTAGAGATGGTTGTGCGTGAAAATCCCAGTAGATCAGCAGTTTCTGAAATACTCAGACCAGCCCTTCTGGCACCAACAATCATGCCACGTTCAAAGTCACTCAAATCACCTTTCTTCCCTATACTGATGCTCGGTTTGAACTCCAGGAGATTGTCTTGACCATGTCTACATGCCTAAATGCACTGAGTTGCCGCCATGTGATTGGCTGCTTAGAAATTAAGTGTTAACAAGCAGTTGGACAGGTGTACCTAATAAAGTGGCCGGTGAGTGTATACTCCCATTCTAAGCATATGTGAAGCCATTATTACTTTTAAGGAAAGCTTTTTATCTGCGATTCTTTTACTGAGAAGAGATCACTCAAGACTCTTTAAATACTACTTCGTAAAGCTATATGTGTTAAATAACAATGAGACATGACAACAAATTTTGACAGAAATTGTAACCTGACTCAGTTCAGAGAAGTTGCTTAGGGTTACAGAAGGCAGCTGCTCACCAACCAGGCTAACATCACGTTGAAGTGGCCGAATCATTCGAAGAAACATTTTATACAACTCCAATATGCCACATCATTGCATCAAACACATTTGTAAATGAGGAGACATCCATGGCTCCAGCCTTATCAAAATAT